TTTCTCTCTCCCCTTCTTCCCTTCCTTTTACTTTCTCTCTAAAAAAAAAATAAAATAAAAGATAGTTAAACATCACATGGAAGTGCCTTTCCACACAAAATACAAAATTAAGTATTTTATTTCAATGATCAGAATAAATATATTTTGCTTTAAATAAACTAGATAATCAAACCTAAAAATTATTGATTTCCTATTTTAATGGCAATTTCACATCCATTGCATTATCTAACTTTAATTAATTATCTTTTACATATTAATACACTAAAATGAAAAGGTTAGTCTCATTTATAAGTTACAGAATTTAAACTCAAACCTAACTTCAAAGTTTATTTCATCCATCATCTTAACTTTCAGTTAAAATAACTGATATAATGCATGTCTTCCTTTTATGACCTCTGTCTTGATTCTTTCCAAAATAGTAAGATATATTTTTTTGAGTCTAACTTCCAAATAAGATCTGTTTGTCTTTTCTTTTCCAACTGTTTTTTCATTCATCACAGAAGGAAATAAAAGCAAAACTGCCAGCAGCATCACTGATGGCCCAAGAAAGGCCATCTGGCTTGGTGTCAACTTGAAGTGCAACTACTACTCTTACTGTGCTTTGAGATTCTAGCTCGGCCATTTGAATGATTTGTTAGTTGCATTTTTAAACAAGAACTAGTCTTTACCATTCTCTTAAGCTTGTTTAATGTAACATTCATCTTTTTCTTTTACTGGTAATAAGATTTAATGTAGTTAAATTACTCTCAATTTGCTGCCATAAACGTTTTCTATATGAAGATTTTAAGTGCAATATTATCAACAATGCAATTATCTTTGAATTAATTAGGAATCAGAGTCCTGTTTCTTCTAGCTTCTGTTTCTTCGGCCCAGAAAATGTCTGTCTCATCCTTATATCTTCTTCATTCTGTATGAAAATATAATTATGCAACATTCAAACTAAGATTCGCAGGAAGGTAAACAAATGTTTTAACAGAGAACAAAATGGCACACTGGAATATGGAAAGCTGTACAAAGATTAATTGCATTTTAGTTTTGTTAAAAAAGTTTTTTGGTTTTTTTTGGCATTTTTAGTGGCATTTTCATGATGGGTTGTTAATGACTCAACTTACCAATCTTCATAGTTTTTAGAACATTTTTCAGCTCAAATGAACCAGCTTACACAGACAAGGAGAAAATAGCCTATAATTGTATATGCCAAATTTTAAAATAATATATAATTGTTGATAATTTTGTGATTCATTTGGATAATATGATTAGTCAAACAATATAATATTTATCCAAAAGTCAATTATTTTGTCCTTTTGAATATTTTTGCATTTCACATTGATCAAAGTTGGTGCTTGCCTATTGAACTTTCACTTTTCTGATTCTCTTAGAAAGTGAGTCCAACTAAATGTTAGGAAAATTTATGTAAAGATAAACATTTTTTAAAAAGTTCCAATTTCATAAGTAAATTGGGCATTGGTAGACATTGATAAAAGAGAAACAAACTATTCTCTCTGTATAGGCAACATTAGAGTAATTCAATAAATATTAAGTTTAAACTTTCCATAATCATATTTAATTATGGAAGTGTTATTTTCATATAGTTCACTAAGAGTCTTCATGCATTTTATGCCATTTTGGGGGGTGTTTAAATATAAGATTGAATTATATAATATTGAAGATATTAGATCATTTTGGAAGAAAGAAGAGAAAAGCAAATAACAATTTAATAATTAGTGAATCTAGGAGAAAAATTACAAGTTCATTGTCCTTTATTTGCAGCTTTATAGATTGAGTTGTTTTTTAATATAGAGCTAAAATTTTATGATAGTCTATTGAAATATACATTATTATATGGTGATGGTTGCAAATTTGTATTTCTTTGAAGAGTATATCTATTCAATATGTCTGAAAAAATTTAAATTATTTTTTTTTCAAAGTGTAATTAAAAGAGAAACTACATTCTACCTGTCTGGAAAACCTTAGGCATTATTGTTTGTAGAAATAGGTCACATATCATGTCACAGGTTTTGATGATGGCCAATAAAACAAAGTAATTTACAAAGTCCTCTGCCCTGTGTCCTACATTTGCAGCAATTCATTGCTTGGTGAGTGGCAGAAGCTATTATGTTTGGTTCACATCTGAATGTGGGTCATTTACAGAAACTTAGCATGTGACATTTCTTTAAAGCTAAAAGGACAAGTGTGAACATTTAGCTAATATGGTATTTTAAGTCTCATAAAAAGAATGGAATCTATAATTTTAAATTGTTTTAAATATAAAAATGAAGAATAAAATATGCTTATTTCTAATTCAAAAAGTTACACATAGTTTTAGCAGTATGGCTATTGTAGTAAATGCACTTTGATATAAGTTGGAAAATAATTATTTACTTATATAATAACATTAGAGGCCCAGTGCACAAAGTTCATGCACTGGGGGGGGGTGCGGGGGGGAAGGGTATCCTTCAGCCCAGGCTGCACCCTCTCCAATCTAGGACCCCTTGGGGGATGTCCAACTGCCAGTTTAGGCCCCCAACTGCCCACAGGGGTGGGCAGGCAGTTGGACATTCTTCTCACAATCCAGGACTGCTGGCTCCCATCCACTCACCTCCCTACCTGCCTGATTGCCCTTAAACGCATCTGCCTGCCAGCCTGATCACCCCCTAACCACTCCCCTACCAGCCTGATCGATGCCTCACTGCTCCCCTATAGGCCCAGTTCCCCCCAACTGCCTTCCCCTTCCAGCCCAGTTGCCCGCAACTGCCTTCCCATGCAGCCTGGTCTCCTCCAACTTCCCTCCCCCGCTGGCCTGGTCACCCCTAACTGCCCTCCCCTGCTGGCCATGCTTTGGTGGCCATCTTGTGATCACATAGGGATGGCCATCTTTTGACTACATGGGGGTGGCCATCTTGAGCTTACATGGGGGCAGCCATCTTGTGCGAGGGTGTGATGGTCAATTTTCATATTACCTCTTTATTATATAGATTAGAAGGGTGCTGGTATAGCTTTGAACAGACAGCATGTAAGTAGTCAAACTTCTTTTTAGCTTGACCAGCAAATGCTTGCCAAAATTCATTCTTATTTTTTAATGTTAAACTCCATATATCAGAATTGCAAAGACTTGATGAAGTGAATGACATTAAGATTGACTTTCTAGAAACCCATGAGAACTCACCATTCTGTTAAAATAGAAATTCAAATAGCTTTGGTTTGAAATTGAACCAAATAGAGGGAAAGGGAAATACAAAGAAGGAATGAAGAGAAGCAAGAAAATAAATAAGGAAAAATAATTTAAGAAAAAAAAAATAGAGAAAATAAAAATGTGCACACAATGGGAAGTAGTAAAAAACTCCATCCCCATTTCCAGAAACAGTCTTACTATATTTTCCTAGTTATGAAGTATCTACCCTTCAGTATATGTATAGGCTCATGTTTGTAAGGGGTAAATCCTTTGAATTCATTCCCTATTAATTTATTCATTCAGTCCACAAATATTCCCATATGCCTACCAAATGCCAAGTACTTGCTAAGGGCTTCCAGAAGGGGAGAGGGTGGTGAGGATTCCAGGAAGGTAGTGGAGAGGAGCTGCATGTGAAGATAACAGAGAGATGAGGAGAACTCGGAGTATTAGGGTAGTACATGTGGAGAAGGCAGGGCTCAGGTCAAGAGAACTATTATTATAAGAACAATAGGAAGCAATGAAATGGATTTAAGGCAAGAGTGATATAAAGATTTTTACTTAAAAATCAATCATGTTATAGTGAGGAGAATAGATTAAAAGGGGCAAGAAGAAATATAAGGAGACTAGTTGGAATATTAATGTTACAGTAAGTAACGGAAGAGATTAGGGCATATTGGACAGAGAAAGGAGCCTGTGTATAGAATGACATAAACAAGACCTAAGGAACTGCCAGAATCTGGAGAAGATGGATATGGAGGATGAGAGAGAGGACAGATTTGAGGATTCTCTCTGGAGTTATTTTCCCTTCATCCCTCCCTTCCTCTGTCCATTCTTCCCTTCCTTCTTTCTACCTTTTCTTCCATCTTCCGTTCCTTCTTTCCATTCTTTTTTTTTTTTTTCCAGAATGAGTGATCTTGGCATTTTACTAAGATAGTGTACCCTAGATGAAGAGGTAATTTGGAGAAGACAATTAGTTTCTTTTCAGAATGTTGTGTTTTTTTAAAAATTCTTCACCAGATGATATGGTCTTATTAGTAGTAGTATTGATTTAGAGTGAGAGGAAGTGGGGGGAGAGAGAGAGATCTGTTGCCTCCCATATGTACCCTTACTGGGATTAGAACCTACAACCCAGGTATGTGCCCTGACCAAGAATTGAGCTTCAGCTTTTTGGTGTATGGAACAGTTATCCAAACAGCTCAGCCACTTGACCAGGGCTTAATAATGTTGATTTTAAATCCTGTTGGCATGTCTATTTGGAGTTATCAAAGTTAATTAAAGGTTCTAATTTGTTTAGCTAACATGTCTTCCTTTAAAGAATTAAATTAATTTTTGTTTTAAATTTCAAAACTAAACTTAGCTGCCTAAATTATAAATTTATTAGAAATATACACTTAAAATCAATTAATTAATTCCCAAATGAGAAAATAAAAGTTTTATGCTTGATTCTACTTTTCATATTTTAAAGATAAGGAAACAGTTTCAGAGGTAAAACTATTGCCAAAGGCCACACAATTAGTGACAAAGCAAAATTCAAGCCAGGCCTAACTGCCTTTAATCCAGGTATGGAACCAACATATCATACTCATTCATGTGGAGAAAATTAAACCCAGATGTAAATTTCAAGTAATCTGTTTTTAATTAAATATTTATTGCTGTAAGTATTGCCTATGTCCCCTTTTTTCTCTCATTGACCTCTTCTAGCCAGCTCCCGTCCCCGCCCCAGGCCTTCATCACCCTATTGTCTGTGTCCAGGGGTTATGCATATATGCATATAAGTTCTTTGGTTGATCTCCTCACACCCACACACCCACCCTTGTCTTCTCTTGTTTAAAAAATGTTTAAAATATGATAGACAAGTAATACTTAAGTTTTTAGAGTTGCAAAGACTGCATGAGAATATCAGCTGAGCCACTGGCCTACTGAGTGATCTCAGCCAAATTACTTAAATTCACCAAGGCTTGGTTTCTTCACCTATGAAAGCAGATGACAGTAATGTCCTGAATCACAGATCTATTGTAAGGATTAAATAATCTATATACTGTATGTTTGTCACATAGTAAGTGCTCAGGAAATGGTTGAAATGACAGAAATTACTATTCAGTAACTGAAAGAAAAACATTAAAAACGCTCTGTGTAATCTTTAATGCCAATTTACATGGCATATGATGGAAGATTTTTTGAACCTATAACTTGGAGATTCTAAGATGGTAGTGAGAGCCAGTAACATATTAGTTAGGATTTGGAGTCTATTCTTCCTAATCCGCAAGTTCGATATTCCCGTATAGATACTGATGCAGGTTATGAAGGTGGATTTGTTTTATTGGAGAAACCCAAACTATAAAGAATAAGGTGAACTAGACCTGTGGCAGTCTTTCTCAGGTCATGCTCATCGGTGGGCTCTTAACCTCTGGGAAAGCACAGAGCTAATAGAGGTGCTGGTCTCATGGTGAGTGTTAGTGGCAAAGAAGGTGCTACTTAAGCACTAGACCCAGACTGAAGGCTGAGGCAACTTCTATCTGTTGTGCAGAATGTCAGCTCCTGTGCAAATATGACCAAGATCCCTAGGAACCCAACTGTGGTTTTGAGCATCCAAGCATGCCTCACATTAGCTTACACACCAGATCATTAAAGAGAAAAGACTACTTGTGGAGGGAGGTGGAATATAGAGGTTGGGTGTGGGAAGCTGCCTATTGTCTTCACTAGCAGAGAGATGGGGACAAGGAACACAGAAGGCTGGTGATCCTTGAAGCCCTTGCAAAGGTCAGGGCTGTGCACCCACTGTTAGTTCAGACAATGGTAGCTGAAACAACTTTCCCATTTATTATTATGTAAATCCTTGATGATGAGCTAGTCTGCCTGTTACTGGAAATTGCCTGCCTGAGGGCTATTGGTGGATCCCAAAACAGTAAAAGGTTGGTGCGGCCTGAGCACCAGTGGAAGTCCTTCCTCTTGAGTTGGACTTACCCGTCTGGCCCCCCAATATTCCCAAATTATCTCTTGTCTTTTCTCTTTCATTTGTGTGCGGCTCCTCTTCCAGATCTGAACCCTGAACCACGCGGGACGTGGAGGGAAACATTTACCACAGTTAGGATAGTGGAATGGAGAGCAGGGAATAGGTAAAAAAAAAGGGGAGTTTAGAGAGCATTCTGCTTCTATGACATGGGTCCTTTGAATTTTTTATATTTACTGCCTAAATGTTTTGCATTTCCCCTGCTCACTATGACCCTTTAAACTTATCGTTCCACATTACACTGAAATTTTTTAAAGTTGGCTGTTGCTAAAGGATTCAAGCTAAAAGCCTATTCTGTCCACTTTGATAAGTCAAATTAACACACATGAGAGCTGTGTGTATAGCCTTCACACTTCTTCATTAGAGTCCAGCTGAGTGTTTAAAATGAACTGTGACCCACATTTTATTTGAAAGACAAGGTGCTTTTTCATCATTAAGAAAATGTACTTATTCTTGTTTTTAATTCACCAAAGATTCGTTGTGTGTCTGTTGTGTGCAAGGCATTGTTCTGGGGAAGAGGAAGGAGAACTCAAGGGTCAACAACCTTGCCCTTCATTCCCAGTGCAGTGTCATGGTTTTTGCCTCTGTATCTTTTATGCTCATTTGACTACTTACATAACATTTAAAATACATTTAAGATTCACTGGCTTCTTGCAGCAAAACAAAATAGCTGTTCTTTTTGTTTGATTATTTGTTTGTTCAATTACTTTAGTGATAAGTATGACGCAAGTCCTCGAGGAGGCTTTGTAGATATTGCATAGTGCTGGGAGTGAAGTGGGGATTGTCACCGGCTGGTGCACAGTACCTGCTGTCAGGAGCAAGTACTTACACGGTGTGGAAAGGACAGTGTCTCACAGCAGCTGCCTGCAACAAGCTCCAGCCAGGGATTTGGACTGTTCCAATAGGACTGCACTTGGTTACTTCTTCTGGGTACATATACTTCTCACATGTGTTTGTCCGTTGATCCAAACTCACTTGCCCATTTTCCCTCAAGTTTGAGTTAAAAATAGAAATTTCAAAAGATTATTTTTTGGTTTCTCTTATCCTAGAGGTATTGAAAGCAGGCTAATTTACCAAAGGCCAACTCATCAGATGACCAATTAACAATTTATACTTAACTGACCAGCTTTTATTTTATCTTTTTAAGAGAACATTGTGGCAAGGAATCCTGCGTTTGTCTCTGACCCAGCTTCCTGCAGCTACAGATGAGGATCATTGAGGTAGAAATAGATCCCTCTTTTTGCTGAAGAAAAGATAAAAGGGGACTCAGCATATAGGCAGCTGCCCACACCAGAGAGCTTAGGGTCTGAGGAACAGACAGGGGATCCTAATGGGCTTGTGGCAAATGGGCAATCAGTGAATGTATCTCTACCAACAGCAATAAGCTCTTTTGGTTACAATTATTCAGTTTACTGGAGCTCCCACAGTGTAACACCCAAATCTTTAAAATAGGTGTATCCCTATGCACACATGCCATAATGTGCACAGCTCACCATTGTCTATGAGAGCATAGAGCGCCCACAGCTAGGTGACAGTTTCAGGGAAGAAGAAAATTGTTTAGCCCTATATTAATTAGATAGCTTTTAGAAAATTTCCTCTACTTGATAAATAATATTTTGCCTTTAGTAAGGAACATAGTAAAGGAGATTGATTCAGAAAATGGAAAATCTTTGATTATCTGATACATATTCCCTAGACAATGAATCTGCTCATAACATTCTCATCAAAACCTGCCTTTAAATTATTTTAATCTAAATTAATTTTTCTAAGTAATAAATGACAGCAGCTAAAACTTATAAGGCTATTTGAAACTATTAAGTCAATGATTAAGAAGGCATCAGCACCCCCACAACTAATTAACTCAAGTACCAACCAGTCTTTCAGACTTGTGTACAGCTTCCAGGAACAAAAAAGCTTAAACAAATCAGACATGTGAATAGTGAGTGTTCATTCTCTGCATATTATAGAAAAATATGTGAGAGCCTGTAGATCTTTCGGACTATTCAGATAAAGGATAAAAAATTAAAGGATCCATGGGTAGAGGGGGGCAGAGGGGTAAAATGGAGGGTATCTGTAATACTGTCACAATTAAAAGATATTTTACATACCAAAAAAAGTTAAAGGGTCCATATAATATCAACAAAAGTTTTACTCAGAAGGTTTCTGGGGGATGCTGCGAGTCCAAATATGAAGCAAACACCATGAGAGGTGCAGACGGTTCTCACAGTTTTCCCTAATGCCAATGCCTATAGAGGCCATCTATAAAAGGGTGGTAAAAATGTATTTAAAAAAAAAAAAAAAAGAAGCTCTAGGAAGAGAAGCTCTGTCCATGACACTAGAAACATAGCTGATGAATTTAAATTACTTAAAATAAAACCCAGTAAAACAAAATGACAAAATAGCTATTATCTAAAGGTAATACTAACTTAAAGAACAGACCAGTGAAATAAAAGATAATAAGAGTTCTGCCCTGGCCTGTGTGTCTCAGTTGGTTGGAGCCTCACCTTGTGCACCAAAACATCTCAGGTTTGATTCCTGGTCAGGGCACATACCTAGGTTTCGGGTTCTCTCCCCAGTGGGGCTCAGGAGGGAGGCAACAGATTGATTTTTCTCATCTCTCTCTCTCTCTCTCTCTCTCTCTTCTCTCTAAAAATTCAACAAAAGATATCCTCGGATGAAGATTATAAAAATATAA